AGTTTGTCATTATGCTCTTCTCTAATCTTCTTAATTTCCTCTGTTGCATGTACTGTGTTTTGCTTAATTTCCTTCCTAATTTCTTGAAGAGTTCTGTATATTAATCTTTTGTATTCTGCCTCCTGTAATTCCAAGAAATTTTCCTCCTCTGGAAAATTTCTAGATTCTTTATTTTGGGAGCTTGCGGAAGCCACCATGTGTTCCCTCTTTATGTGATTTGATATTGATTGTTGTCTCCGAGCTGTCAATAAGTTATTATATTTATTTATTTTATGTTTACTTACTGTGTCCTAGCTTCTTGTTTTGTTTTAATATGCCCAAATAGGCTGCTCATATGAGCTGGTTTCATTATTGGCACCTTTGAAGCTCTAATGTCTTCCCACCAGGAAGTTACATCTGTTACTAGGTATGTGAGCTCTAGAGTCCGTCTACTTCTCATGTATGGATTTAGCTCAGGTGCCCAGATAGATAGCCACCAAGTGTGTAGTGTAGGCTCTCACTTATAGTCCTAGACAGGCATAGGTGATTGGTGTATGCACAGGCATCTGGCTGCAGCAGGGGACACACTCTGAGCAAGGCAGGGGGCTGACGGCCGCCCCTGGAGTGTCTAGGAGGAAGGCATGTTGCTGTTCCCTGGAGCGCGCAGGTGGCTGGGTTTTGCAGCCAGAGTATGAGCACCTAATGCTGTTGGCTGTAAGGACTGGGGGCACCTCTTATTCATGGACCCCAATTGCAGGTGGCTAGGTGGCATGGGTGGAGCCACCAGTCCTCAGGCCCCTGATGTGGGTAGGTGAAGACCCTGCTTAATGGGCAGAGCAGTGTCAAATGTCAAGAACCTGCCACTTCACAGCTGAAACAGTTTAGGTTAAACTTCAGTACTGTTGTACTGCGGTAATGAGGGCCTACGCTGTTGAAATGGGCCCACACAAGTTTATGCAGGGGGAGAGGCACTCAAAGTCCGTGGATCCTTTATGTCTGTGCCTAGGTAGAGGAGCTGTGCCTACCCTGGATTCCTGGCTTAGGGGAGCCAGCAGTTTATTTTTCCCCGTTTGTTAATTTGTTCACTCTCCAAGGCAGGGAGAATGGCTCTGGGCGTGTGACAGATCCTACTTCTGGCCCAGCAGACTCAACAATTGCTGAAGCCATTCTGGGACCCAGTGCAGAGCAGGGAGTGAGGAGGTAAATGAGAGAGAGGTTTTTCCCAAAGGGGGGTGTTTTTGGTCTGTGTGGTAAGCCATGTGCATGTAGTTAATCTTTTCACTGATCCAGGGGTGCTTCTCACTGGTTATGGGTGGCCATGTAGACTCTCTGGCGCTGGGTCTCTCCTTGTGCAGAAAATGCACCTCCCGAGCACTGCTGCTTGCCTGCCTCACTGCTCACCCATGAGCTGCTCAGGCCCGAAGGGCTCAGGCTCTCACCAGGTCAGGTTTGGCAACTTCTCGCTGCTTCCAAACCTTCTCTCCCTCCCCCTGCCACTCAGTCCGGTTCCTCAGCTCTGCGTTTGATGTTCAGGGCTCCCAGATTGCCATATATCATCGAATCACTTGTTTGTTTGGGTCTTTGTTGTTAAGAGTGTCCACCGGAAACGTCTGACTACTCTGCCATCTTGGCCCTGCCTCCCTCACAGTGCATGTATGTTTGTACACACACACACATTATACATGCACACACCAAAGAGAATAGAACATCCATAAATATCTACAGGTTTCATTTCAAGTGATACCTTTGATTTATAATGGCTGACCAGAGTAAAGTCTTTGGAATCAGTGCCAGGGTTCAGTGGGAAAAGGTGCTATTAGCAAAGAGTAGGGCAGAGGTGGCAGTTGCATACATACACCTTTGACATCTTGATCTTCGCTAGGATTGTAAACTACTAATGTCAGGGACCACATTTGATGCTGTTTTTATCTCCCATAGTGCCTGGCTCACAGGAAGTGCCCAGATGTATTTTAAGTAAGTTTACAGAACAGGGAATTAGCCCTAAAACTACATGGCTTTAGATGTGTTCATTTCTTTTGTATATTTATTTGTGAAAGACTTACTCTTTAGAGATAGTTTAAATAATCGTACCATCACGAGTTTAATTTTCACTAAACTGGCATAGAGTTGTATGACTTTTTCCAGCCTCCCCTGATATCTTGATTTTTCCACCTCACTAAAATGCTGTGCATGTGCTGTGTAGGATCAACCTGTCCTGATCTGTTGCTAGTTAGAGCTCCTACAGCATTCTGTTCCTCCCTGTGGCTCTTCCTCTTTTCTCCCTTGTTCTGAGTATGAGCCTCGGGGCTTCTCTCCCTTCCCAATGGTAGGATTTTAACAAGACAGTTCATGTGAGTATCGTCCTATCGTTCTGAGCCTTGTACAAACTAGATTTTTCATACATGTTTGCTGAGTGATTAACAGATCAAATAGAAAACTAAAAACATTGTATTGATAAAATCCTAACCTGAAAATAGAAAATACATTGCATTCTGGCACATGAGCATGTTAGGTAAGCTTTTATTAGACAAATATGTGATTCCCCTTCTTTTTTTAATAGTTGCCTATTGCCACTTTGAGTTAGTAAATAAATTAATGTGCTGGCAAATTCAAAAATTTATTCCGTATCACAAAAGAACCGAAAGGTTACTTCTATGTTCCATCCCCTCCCCTTCGGAGTTTAATCCCTCTGTAAGAGCTATGGTAACTTGAATCAATGATATCAGTGACTTTTTCCTTCATTTAAAAACAGGTCAGTGGGCATATGTATACTCTGATTTATACAGAACATATCTTTAGGAATACATAAAGCCCCCTGGTCTTTACTACCATATTGAATGAATTCTATAATCTCTTCCAAAGGGACTTCTTCCAGATGAGCTTCAGGGAGTCCACAGCACTCCTCGTATTTTCAGAGAGGCCTGTGCCCCGAGCTACTGAGCTGGATCATTTGCCAGTTGTCATCTTCACCCATAAAGGCTTTGCATAAAATACCCAAATAGCATGAAAGAATTTCCTCTCCAACTCAATCACTAGCCTTTTTCATTTTTTTTTTCCCCAAAATCTAGGCAGGTAGGTTTTTGTTTGGCTCCTAGGAAATGATTTTAGCGAAATAAGATTTGGCCAGACTTGGATTCAGAGATTCTCATCATTGAGGATCATATAACAAAAAACTGGATATACCCAAAATATCCTCTAACATGAGAATAAAATATTATGTAACTACTAAATTTTTATAGCAAGCATTAAAAGAATATATTAAATATTGTATAAAGTGGGTAAAATATATTACAAAAGTAGTATATAATCATATAATTCTAATTTGGAAAAAACATACACATATGGTGGTTAAGACTGTAGACAAGTTAAACTGTGAATCAGTTTCTTCAGTTATGAGGATGTCTTCTTCAGAGGTATAGGTAAATGAGTTAATTCAGATAAAGCACTTGGAACAATACTTGGCAGATAGTAAACGCATGGTAGTTGTTAGCTGTTAAATACCCATTGAATAATGAGATTACAGGAGGTTTTTGCTTTTTTATACTTGTCTACATATTCTAAATTTTCTTTGATGAAGATGTTTACTGTTATAATCAGAAAATTTACTTTAATGCTGACTTCCAGTTTATGATCAAAGCTGAACTTTAGCGAAACCAAGGGAGACAACACCTAATAAATAAACCATGATATAACTTTTTAATAAATTTATTGTAAAGGAAAAAAAAGCATCATTATTTTATAATGATTTTCTCACTGACAACAACGTGTGACAACCAGTAACATTTTTATAAAAAATATTTTAGAATTCTAATGAGACAATATATACAATCATGTTGCCTTCTGAAGGTATGGTGGGGAGAGGTTCCCTGAAAAAGTTTTCCCCAGGAAATCCACAGTCTCTTGGCGCAATTGACTCATATAAAATCCGCATCTATCATCTTTCTGCCAATCTAGAGAAGATTTGTTTTCTTTGATCTGTTGTCATATGTTCACAAGCTTCCAAAATGTTTGCCAAAATTAAAGTCTGCTGAATTGTTTTTGCCTTAACCCATATTCTTCCATTCATTCCAAATACTATCTCCAGTGGATAGAGTTTTCCCACTTCCTGTATGATTTCACAGTCTGGAGCTAGAAGCCTGGTGGGGAAGAGGAAGAAAATGAAATTTTAATGAAGTGGCAGGGTGTGTCCTGATGTTCCTTTAGAAAGGACTCCTTTTCTGGGCAGTTCTTCAGTTATTTCAAAGCCCCACCAACATTATTCCAAGAACAAAGCAGATAATTACATTTCTGCCCCTCTTCAAGAAGCTTTACATTTACCAGTATACCAGAGGTCACAATGGTGGACTGTCCCCTAAAAAGAAATCAAACTTTGTGTCACCCATTGTCATGGATTGGATTATGTTCCCCCAAAAATGTATCAATTTGGCTGGGCCATGATTCCCAGTATTGTGTGGTTGGCCTCCATTTTGTGATTGTAATTTTATGTTAAAGAGAATTAGGGTGGGATTGTAACACCCTTACTAAGGTCACATCCCTGATCCAATGTAAAGGCAGTTTCCCTGGGGTGTGGCCTGCACCACCTTTTATCTTACAAGAGATGAAGGGGAAGCAAGCAGAGAACTGGGGACCTCATACCACCAAGAAAGCAGTGCTGGGGTGGGGGAGCAGAGCGTGTCCTTTGGACCTGGGGTCCCTGCACAGAGAAGCTCCTAGTCCAGGGGAAGACTGATGAGAAGGCTGACAGGGAGAAAGCGTTCCCCTGCAGCTGACGCCCTGGATTTGGGCTTTTAGCCTACTAGACTGTGAAGAAATAAATTTTTCTTTGTTAAAGCCATCCACTTGTGGTATTTCTGTTACAGCAGCACTAGATGACTAAGATACCCATCAACTTTGCAAAAATATATAAAGTTCTTCCCCTAAATTGTCAGAACACTGTAATTCTAGATTTTAGAATCTTAACTTCATTATCTACAATGCTAAAAAGAACACTTTAAACTTACTTCCTAACTATGTAAGTTATACCGTTATTAAATTCAGTCTTGGAGAGGAATATTGGCTCTTTCAAACCATAAGGATGCTGCTTGGTTAAAAACATGCTTCTCTAATGTCCCAAACTAAGTCTCCCAAATCTGCAGAATATGTATGAAGAAGAGGCATACAAGAAAGGTCTGAACTTCAGTGGCTCTTAAAAAGAAAAAACCCGTAGCCGTCAATTCTGACTATAGCGACCCTATAGGACACAGTATAACTACCCCATAGGGTTTCTAAGGAGGGCTGGTGGATTAGAACTGCCGACCTTTTGGTTAGCAGCCATAGCTCTTAACCACTGCACCCCACCAGGGCTCCTCAGTGGCTCTAGGCCTTTTAATATGGCACAGCTTTGGGTAGGTAAAGGTTTAAACACATAAGAGAATCTGCCTTAGTGGGAGCTATTAAATCTACCAGGAAAGAATGGCAGGAGCCTTCTGTGAATGTCTGCACAAGGTGCAGGATCACACCAGTCTACTTGCGTTTGACCTCTATTACGAGAGAAATTTGGTGATTTGATTTTGTTCAATTTTATTATTATTTTTGTGTGTGTGTTTTTATTGTACTTTAGATGAAGGTTTACAGAACAAATAGTTTCTCGTTAAACAGTACACATATTGTTTTATGACATTGGTTAACAACCCCAGAATATGTCAACACTCTTTCCCTTCTCGACCTTGGGTTCCCTATTACCAGCTTTCCTGTCCCCTCCCACCTTCTAGTCCTTGTCCCTGGACTGTTGTGCCCCATTAGTCTCATTTTGTTTTATGGGGCTGTCTAATCTCTGGCTGAAGGGTGAATCTCAGGATGATTTTGTTCAATTTTAAACTGCACCTATATTCAAATGATTTAGAAGGACAGGAGGCCAGTTTTTCACATTTGGGCTGAGTGTATTAAAGCAATTGACTGCAACTGAAAGGTCAGTTTGAAACTACCAGCAGCTCCGCAGGAGAAAGATGTGGCAGCCTGCTTCTGTAGAGATTTATAGCCTTGGAAACCCTACTGGATCACTGAGTTATAGTAGACTTGATGGCAGTGGGTTATATCAGCTATAGGAACAGGCTTCTGGGAGAGAAGACACAAATAAGGCAGAGGAAGAACTTGAGGTATGGAGTATAAGCCCAGACCCTACACGCCCACCAGAAACTACAGAGCTAAGTACATCTGAATTTGACGTATTCACATTAGCATATTCAAATTAAGAGGGGATGGGACTAAATTCATGACTTTACAAACTGCTAACATGGATGTTGATTTTTAAGTCTGAGAAGAAATTCAGACTTTGCTAAGAAGAATCCAAATCCTAAAGATTGGCCAGCTTTCCAAGACATAATTGTAAAAGGAGACAGGCAAGCCAGTAGGCATCGGAACTTACTTTCTAATTAAGCCCAGTGTCACTTTAAAAAGCAGACCGTCCTGTCCAATCACACCCATTCCATTGGCTCGTCCACAGCTGTCAATACAGACCATCTCTGGTTCCATATCTTTATTAGCAACCACAAATTGGCCATAGATGAGGTCTCCAACCTACAATGATAATTAAAAAACAGTTCATCTCAGGAACCATTCTACAGGTACTGCTATTGGTTCTTTCCCACAGGCAGCAATGCCAGCCACCTGCAGTTTTGTGGCTAAGGGACTGACTAAACTTCAGGATCCAGTCACTTTGGAATTGAGTCTTGAAAGAAGGCATAATTAACACATGTACCTTCCCCCTTTATCCACTAGAAGATCCCCAAATGGGAGCAATCCCAAGGCCAGAGAACATACTCTAGGACTGCACTCTTCATTATGTTAGCCACTAGCTACATGTGGCTATTTAGACTTATATTTAAATTAAAATTAAATAAATGTAAATTTAATTCAGATCCTCAGTTGTATTAGCCACATTTAAGTCCTTAATAACCACACGTGGCTAGTGGCTGTCAGTGCAGATATATAGAACATTAGCACCATCACAGAAAGTTCTATTAGGATTCCAGAAGATTTACGGCTAGAGGAAGGAACTCCTGGCATGCAAATTATTCAAGCAAAATAGCTGAAGCAATGATAAGCCACTGATACTTCTCCATGCAAGGTTTACTTAAATACAGTGGGACTTCAAAATGTTGCAACTGAGGAAATAGTGAACTGTTCTGTTTGCTCAACAAAACACTGACTATGAGAACTACAGATGAACAAAACATTTGCTGCCTTTCACAAGCATTTGGTCCTGAGTGGTAGTATGTACATAAGAACAAAAACTTCATCGAAGGCTGAATCCAGTAAGTGCTAGAACAAAGTTAAAGTAAAATGATTCAAGATTGGGAATGGCCTTCCAGAGGTAGTGGTGTTTGGCCAGGTTTCAAAGAATGAGCATGTGTTCCACAAATAAAACATGAGCAAAAGTACAAGGAACAGAGGGAACAACATCAGCAAAGACACAAAGGTAGGAAATTACTTCATGGGTTTAGTGGTACTATTAAAATAGTTTGGTGTGGCTCAAGCATGGCTGCATGCAAGATATAATTATGGATGATGCAAGACCCCTGGAGTGTCACACCGAGGAATTCTTTAGGCTTTGAAGAACCATTTATGTTTTGAGAAAGGGAGTATGTGAGGATGTCAGCTCTGAAAAGCCTGCATGGAGGGATAAGAGTGGGGAGGCAGGGATGTTAATGAGGTCATTGACCAAATCCAGTCAAGGGGTAACAAGGTGTGAATCTGCACGTAGAGATAAAGGGGTGGACATGAGGAAGATAAGAGAAACAATAAAGCAACTGAAAACATGAGATGAGTCAGAAGGGGCAAAGAAACCGCTCAACTTCTGGTTTGGGTAGACAGAGAAGAGTATTGCTACATTGTGAGATGCCAGTCTCAGGGTCTACAACCAGAAAGGATGGATGGCTGATACGGCAATTTGTGCCACTTGTCCATCTCCCTCTCTGAGCCTATGGCTGACTTCCTTGGCCAGTACCCACGATACTGGAGATAACAGATAAAACCTTTCAACTCAGTAGAGATATAACATTCCAAGAACCAATGTTGTAGACATAAAGCATGTATGTGGTCTAGCCCAGGAGCTGGAGTACCTGAAGGAACTCTTGGAAGCCTGGAAGATCACCCTATAGAACTGGGAAAAGTGGTCACGCTTTAGAAACAATTCAGTGGACTTCTGGATATTTTTGTATTCCAGGTAGTGAGTTTTTTTCATACTTTTGAAACCAAAGGCCCCCATCATTACCTGCACGTTTGGTCTGTTTCTTTTAGTTGCACCTTCAAATGCCAAGTAAGACAAAGAAGCTGGCTCACTCCCTCCAACATCAACTTTGAATATATCTCCAGATTTAGCTATCACTATGCCAATCACATGGTCTCCTTTCACTGGGACATACTACAAAAGGAAACAGAATGAGAAAACAGCCACAAATTACAATTTTTTCCAGCAAGTCCTTAGTAGTTACTTTATTATGTTTGTCACTAAAAAGATGTCTAGAAAATATTTTGAAACTCAAGTTATTTATACAAACTTTACAACAAACTTCATCACATGCCACTTTCAGTAAATGAAAACTGATCACATCATAATCTCTCAGGCTTGCAGCTTCTAATAGTCTGTTAATTGGAGCCAGTATGCTGTACCTGAATACCCTCTTCAGCATCCTTACCAGAGAAAGTCTCTGGCTTCTGCTTGCACATACGTCCAGTGGCACAGGCTTCCTTACAACCAAGGAAGCCCATTCCATTGTTAGACAGTTCTGTCTACAAGAAAGTTTTCATCTATTCTGAAAGAAATTTAACTCCTGGTGACATCCACTCATTGGGCCTGGTTCTGTCCTCTGGGGCCTCAAAGTCAGTCGCTCCCTGAACTTTGGGATTTTGAAGACAGTGACCATGTGTCACAATCCTTATCTCCCTTATTACATGCTAAGGTTTCCACATGCCTTTCTTCCCTGATCGCCCTTCTCAGGCCACGTTCCTGTTGCTCACAGTCCCTCAAAGGAGTGAGATGGAGAGTCAAGAACAATCTCAACAGAGGAGACGCTGCTCCAGAGTCCCCTCCCTATTCTCTTCCTGGAAGTTCCCCAGAGCAGGGATACCACTCTCGCTGCTGCACCGTCACTCGGAGCCCCAGCTCACCCGCTTCTGCTGCGAGTCCACCCAGTAAACGCCGCCGCCGCCGCCGCCGGGCTCCTTGTGACGTAGACGACCGCACTTGGTGACCAGCAGACGGTCCCCACAGCGCCGTAAGCCCGGGCCGCACACTACTCGCACCCGCGAACGCACTCCGGGATTTAGGCGCAGCGGTCTTTCCCCAGCACCGCCAGGACCTTCTGCGTCCTCCTGCTCCGGCAGCAGCAGCTCCTCACCCGGGAGCACCACCTGACCTAAAACTGTGCGCGCGGCCCGGGCCTTAACGCCCGCGAGGGATTCGACCGCAACAGCCACCGCTTCAGCCATCCCGAGCGCCACCAAACACCGATTCCGGCTCCAGGCTTCAACTTCCGGCACTGTGTCCAATCGCCAGCCCGCTCAGCGCTTTCCGTTTCCGGCGTTATCCGTCGGTTGAACTCGTAGCTACATCTGTGAAGCCAAATCGCTATGAGCCGGCGGATACCTCTAAGGTGGCTGTCATTGGGCCTGCCTCTGGTCGGGTGCCTGTTTGCGGATCGGTACGAGAAACGCTCATCTTGAGTAGATCGCAGAGCCCTTCTCTTCCACGTATCTCGGGCTCCGTGTCTTGTGGCCGGTCTTGCCGTGGGATGCAAGATGTTCCCTTGTATGGAACCCTGGGAGATGAACAGAGGGCCTTCCATAGTTAGGCGTTGGGTGGACTCATAGCTCCTTCCCCTCGATCCTGCCCTCAGAATGGTGGCCGACCTTTTACAAGGAAAGATACTTTCTTTTCAAACTAAAACCTTTTTGGTCGCTGCCAAGAAGGTGTTTATTCACACTGTGGAAAACACGGAGAATAAATAAACATAACTTCTTGGTTTTACCCGTTTGTCTCAAGCTAGACGGCCAGCCCTAGTTCTGATTCTTTGTAGCCCAGGGTCTGGCATGAAATAGGTAACACGTGTTGAATGAATGAATGTTCACATTTTGGTGTGTATTCTCCCTAGACTTCTTTTTCTGCAACTATACACATCACACGCACATTTTCACATAATTGAGCTACGCCTACATGGCGTGGGAAAATCAGTTAACTACAGTTAAATCCCTGCTGCTACTTTCCCTGAACCAACACTTTGGTTGCCCGTGTGAGAACCAACTGAATTGCAAATTCGTAGTACTTCCGCTTTTATGACTTGCGGCTCTTATTTGAAATCACTGTTTTCTCTGTCAAGTGGCACCTCCAATTAGTGCTTGGTCAGGTTCTCCAGCAGTACTGAGAGCTCCTAGAGCTCCTGGGAATTGGGAGGGCATGGCAGTGACTGATGGATTTTAACTGCCCCTCTGTTTCTTCGCATCTTTTTGAGGCACTCACTTCCAAAATGAGTTTTTAGAATTTTAAGATGTTTAAGACAGACTATCTCTAACACACCACCCAAATTGGGCGAGATGCTGGCGAGCCATTTTCCCCAGATGTCATGAGAGGCTGACTGAAACGTAATTTTTGTTTTGCAGTCAGATTTTTGTAAGAACTGTTCTTAGCTTTCGTGGCATTAGTAGGAGCTCCTGGGAGAAAATGGGTATAAACTCTGCTCCTCTCCTCCCAACTCCAACCTACCTACAGAGGGCCTAGAACCAGTAGGTATTCGGTCTCAATCCTGGCCGGCCCAAGGGCATTCTCAGTGGATGCTCAGTGACCTCAGGCTGAGGCCAGGCACAAAGGGAGGCCGGGAAATGTTCCCTGAACTGTCGCTCACGCACCCCACGTCGGTAGTGAGGTATTTGGAAGAAAATCAGCCCAAACCTGCCACAGGAGCTCTTTCAAGTCCACTTCTCTGTGAGGGCAACACTTTGAGATCCGCCTAGATCATTCCCAAGTAAATAGATAAAGCAACTGAGGCCCTGAAGAGCGACGTCACCTAGAGGCTGGAGGCCTGGGCAAAGACCGGTGGGTCATCAGCGCCTCCCGGGAGACTTACACCCCGACACGCCCGGATGGGGCGGTCCTAGAGGGGGCGTGGCTCACGCGGGTAGGCAGCGTGGCCACTACGCAGCGAGCCGCCATGTCCGTGCTTCGCTGCCTTGGCGTCCCGTGGCAGCGGGTGAGTGAGAGCGCGTGGGCAGAGGATTCCCAAGATTTGGGTATCTGCTTTTGTGGAGGTGGGAAATTGAGGCCACGGGCGAGTGTGTGCAACCCGGTTCGAACTCGCGGCCCCTGACTCTGGCGCGCGAGACCCTTCTTGGGGTCCCTGGCGACGCAGTTACAAAAATCTCATAACAGCGCTTACTGCCTTTTCTGGTTGTAAAAGTGGCCGTGGCGATCGGAGGAATGCAGAAGAAGCTGGAGGCCCTGCGCACACTTTGAAGCCATGTTGTGCCCACGGGCCGTGGGTGTGGGTGTGGGTGTGGGTGTGGGTGTGTGTGTGAATTTACGGGCCTGATCGACCCACGTAGATTAGGCCTCTTCTGTGTTTGGGCGCTGCTGGTTTGGTGCCATTGTAGTAGAGGTGGCATCACGTCGACTGGCTTCTGGCATACTTCTTTCTCCCTTTTTCTGATTATTTCCTCGGAGGAATTGCCAGTTGCCTTGCTGAAAGGTTGGTCGCAGCCTTCCGGACTCTTTCCCATAACCGCGTCTTTAGAAATTTTTGCAGCTTTGAAAGTGGGAGAAGTGGCTTCTCACGGTTGCTTTTCTTTGTTGACTGGTGACGTTGGTTTTTTTTCCCTTTTCTTTTCGATCAAGAACACATCCACTCAGGGTCAGGAATTAAGCTAGGGAGTCAGCTGAATCCTAATTCCTGCCCTGGGCAAGTTCACTGCCTACACATGACACTACCAGTGAGTTTTGGTGGCTCCAATAAAAACCTCAACAGGGTGTCAGTCCGCAGGGTACAGAAGATGAAATGGTTACCTCTATTTGGGTAGCCCTGGTGGCGAAGTGGTTAAGAGCACGGCTGCTAACGAAGAGATCGCCAGTTCGAATCCACCAGCTGCTCCTTGGAAACCCTATAGGGCAGTTCTACTCTGCCCTATAGGGTCACTATGAGTTGGAATCTACTTGATGGCAATGTTGTTTTTGTTTTTGTTTTTGTTTTTTTAAATCTGGGGGGAAGGGAGGGGACGAGATAGGTGTTCCAGAGGAGGTGATAATTGAGTGAAAGTTAAAAATTTTTTTAATTTACTGGTTTCTGAAAATCACAAATGAAATGTATGCTGATTTATATACAGAAATTGATAGAAAAAGAGTCCGCGGAAGTATCGTTTAGTATCATTATTCAAATACAGATTTAATCTGAAAGCATAAATGCTCACAGTTACCACTACACAAATGTACAGATGTTTTTAATCATATAGAATCATAATTTCTTAAACATAGGCCTTATGGGAGAAAGTAAAACATAAGAAAACTTTTTTTTCCTTTACCAAATACTGTTCTGTACGTGTTAGGAATTCCATAAAATATCATATGGTCCCCACACTCCCATCTGTACTACATTACATTATAAGCTAGATTCTTTCTTATTTGGATGGCATTTAAGTTTGGTCCTGGTGTATCACAATATAAAACCAATTGCAAATACTCAAAACTACAATAAGGAAATGAGCCCTGGTGGTGCAGTGGTTAAAGTGCTTGGCTGCTAATCGAAAGGTCAGCAGTTCAAACCCAGCAGCCGCTTCACAAGAGAAAGATGTGGCAGTCTGCTTCCATAAAGATTTACAGCCTTGGAAACCCAGTGAGGCAGCTCTACCCTGTCCTATCGGGTCGCTATGAGTTGGAATCGACTCGACAGCAGGTTTATTTATTTGTTTTGTTTTCTAGTTCATAAACTCTAATTTTGTAACAGTGTGTCACATCACCTTTTGGTAGTCATTTTATACCCCGTTTGACCAATTAAAATAATTTAAAGCTTTTTAAAAACATTAAAAAAAATAAAACAGTAGGGCAGTGGATAAAGTCTCCCTTCAAACTCCATTCTCTCTGCTTCCCTAGGGATAACCACAATTATCAATAGATTACATATCCATGTACATAGTTATTTAACTTCTCCGTGCCTTAGTTTCCTCATACAATGACGATAATAGTACCTACCTTTAAGAGGAGTGAGAAAGGGCAAGGATAGAGCATTCCTGGAGGACAGAATAGCGTGAGGTCTTGTATATATCTTGCTAAGACATTTTGACTTTATCCTGTAGGCAGTGAGGAGCAATGCATTTGTTTTGTAAGAAAAACTCAGTTCCCAAACTACAGCGGAGAATGTTCTGAGTCAGAGCCCAAGAAATGGGTCTCCCTGCTCTTTCTTTTCCAAAGCCTTCACCACTGTTCAGGCCCTTGTTACAGCCTTCTGACTCATCACCCTCTTCATTCTTCATACTTTTGTCCTTCCTCCCTAAGGCTAATGTCCATCTTTTTAAAACCCAGCTCACTTTCCTTCCTCCAAAAGTCTCATGGCTTTCCCCATCACCTGCAGAAGAAAGTCGCATTCCACTGGAACTTGTCAGGAAAGAACCCCACCCTCATAGAGGATAACAAAAAGTAACAGAACTCTAAAGGAGATGACTAAACAAACAAGCATTTTTACCTACTGCAGCTCCGTAGGTACCAAAAGTATACAAAAAGATTCAGTGGATCAGATCAAGAACTTTATTACTCTGTAACACAACAAGCAGCAGGATCATCAGCAAGATAGCACTGATTCGCTTGCCCCCAAATCCAATGGACTGATGGTGGCTACGCATGCTGGGTTGCGCCACAACTGAGGAATCCAGGGCCAACGGCCCAACACCTTTTGTAACAAGCAGGAAGCAAACCAGCTCTCCTCCCTCAAGGAGCAAGCAGTCTCACGTTGTGGTTGCTTTGACCTACTTAATTGCATATGTGACTAGCTACAGAAACTGCTCAGTGTCAGAGGACAGTTAGGCCTTGTGGTTGGCACACTCAACAAGAAGGACATGTAGGGACGCTCAAGGTCCGTTGCAGATCGTCTCCCAAAAGAAGTCAAGGCTTTTACCATCTGATTCCAGCTTATCTCTGCTGTGTCATCTCTCAGTGCATTTTCTCCAGCTCTCTTAAGTTTTCATCATTCTGGACTATTTGCCAAGTACCGTTTGCACTTTGCCATGTTAGTTGTTGTTATCCTTCTAGCTACTGGCTCCCTTTTCTTATCTTTGCCGCACTGCAAGCTTTCTGAGCACAGGAAACTCACTGCTCTTTGCACACACAGTAGTTGCTCCAGACATGAAAGAGCGAGCTTGAAATGATGAGAATTGCATTTGGAAAATTGACATGATGCTGTTAAGGGACTCTTCTAGGCTCTATTTACTGGGTCCAGACATAGATGGGTCTGTGGAAAAGTTTAAGGTCTGTGTTGGTCGGAGTCTAGTTAGGAGACAGAAACCACACAGTAATTTGAACAGGAGAAGTTTAATATAAAGAACTATTAACTGTAACAGGGCATTAGAATAATGAGTATTGGCTAGTAAGAAGTAAAAAGAGCTCTAAAAAATATAGGATTAACAGATATAAGGAATAGTCACTATCCCTAATGCTGAGTTAGAGTACCCAAGGAAGATTCTCTCCCCCACCAGCTCAGGCTGATTGATAACTTGTTGGAGAGGGCATGGCCATGGCTCACTGGAAACTCACTAGGAAGGTGTGCCAGTAGAACTTGCTGTAGATCTGCTCTCTAGAACTTACCGGCACTTCTGCGGTTCTGGGGAAAGCTATTCATGGGGAGGTGTCTCCTGGAAGCCTCTGTTACAAAACTGCCTGATAGGGTGCTAGGGAAAACTGCTGGCCATTTGGTGCTTCTGGCCACCAAGCAAAGCAGGAGCCAGATGCTGGAGAAGTTGCTATACTGCAGGAGTGTGGCAGTAAGCACATTGGAATGAGGAAATAAAACTCATTCCTTCTGCAATATTTCTCCATTTTGTAGGCCTTCTACCAACAAAACTTAACATGACAGCTGGCAAAGGAAAAGTACTTAAAAGGCCCAGATCCATTTTCTCAGAGCAGGCGGTGAAGGGTGAATTTGGAGCTGAGAGGGAATTAATTAATAATTGGCACAAGGTCTCATGAAGTTGTAAGATCAGCAGACTTATCAGTGACAGTAATAAGTAGAGTCTGTTTAGGTCTAGATGGCTTCACTGGTGAATTCTCCCAAACAATTCAAGAAGAATTAATACCAATTCTTCATAAACTCTTCCAAAAAAATTAGGAGAGGAAGGAACACATCCCAACTCACTGTATGAAGCCAGTATTATCCTGATACCAAAAACAAAGACATCATAAGAAAAGAAAACTACAGATCAATATCCTTTATGAATATGGACACAAAAATCCTCAATAGAATACTAGCAGACTGAATCCAGCAACATGTAAAAGGGTTTTACACCATAACCAAGTAGGATTTATCCGCGAAATGCAAGGTTGGTTCATCATCTGAAAATCAAAACCAAACGATCACCTCAGTAGATGCAGAAAAAGCATTTGACAAAGTACAACACCCTTTCATGATGAAAACACTCCACAAACTAGAAATAAAAAGGAACTTCCTCAGTCTGGTAAGGGGCATTTATGAAAAGCCCTTTATAAAGCTAACATCATACTTAATGGTGAAAGACTGAAAGCTTTCCCTCTACGATCGGGAACTGGACAAGGAAGTCTGCTCTTGCCACTTCTACTCAACATTGTACTGGAGGTTCTAGCCAGGGCAATTAAGCAACAAAAAGAAAAGGGATCAAGATTGAAAAGGAAGAAGTAAAACCATCTCTATTTGCCGATGATATCATCTGATATGTAGAAAATCATAAGGAATTGTTACGGATTGAATTGCATCCCCCAAAAAGTTATGTTGAAATCCTAACCCTTGTACATATAAATATGACCCTATTTAGAAATATACCCTCTCACTTATCGACATGGTTAGGTTCCAAAGACCAGGTCATTATGCAAAAATGTATGACCACATCAAATCTCAAATGGAAGATGACTACATCATTACATAACTGCCAAACCACTGAGAATCATAGCCCAGCCAAGCTGACACGTAACTTTAGCCATCACAGCCAGCATTACTGTTGCCTCGCGCCTCTGTGTTTGTTACTGCGAGACATACATCGTCAATGCACAAAATAGATAGTAGGTATGTTACTATTGTTGTAACTAGGAAATGTCTGATAACAAGATAGTTGATCAGTGAGGAGAAGGTGTAGGGATTTTCTTTTTTATGTCAGTGATGTCAAACCAGCGTAGAGTGGGTCCTAAACTTAATCCCTTCTCAGTAGTTTTTTATACAAAGAGCAGAACGGACACAGACACACACACTGACGAGACCATGTGAAGATCTGTCTATAAGCCAAGCAACGCCTAGAGCCACCAAGGAAGGACCTTCCCATAAAGCCTATTATGGCTTAAATTATGTCCAGCCCCAGGCAACCACTAATCTACTTTTTGTGTCTAGTTTGCCTTTCTTAGAAGGGAAATCTGAAAGGAAAATCCCAAATGGAATATGTCATGGTTTGAATTATGTCCCCCCAAAAATGTGTGTATCAATTTGGCTAGGCCATGATTCCCATTGTTGTGTGGTTATCCTCCATTTTGTGATTGTTATTTTACATTAAAGAGTATTAGGGTGGGATCGTAACACCACCCTAACCCAGGTCACATCCCTGATCCCAATGTAAAGGGAGTTTCCCTGTGGTTGTGGCCTGCACCACCTTTTATCTCTTGTAAGAGATAAAAGCAAAGGGAAGCAAGTGGAGAGTTGGGGGACCTCCTACCACCAAGAAAGCAGTGCCAGGAGCAGAGCGCGTCCTTTGGACCTGGGGTCCCTGCGCAGAGAAAGCTCCTAGTCCCGGGGGAACACTGAAGAGAAGAAGGCCGACAGAGAGAAAGCCTTCCCCTTGAGCTGACGCCCTGAATTTGGACTTGTAGCTTACTGGACTTAGAGAGAATAAACTTCTCTTTGTTAAAGCCATTCTACTTGTGGAATTTCTGTCAGAGCAGCACAAGATGACTAAGACAGAATAATATGTGGCTTTTTGGTGTCTTGGCTTTTTTCACTTAGTGTGATGTTTTTGAGGTTCATCCATGTTGTAGCATGTATTACTAGGTCATTCATTTTTAGTTCTGAGTGGTGTTCTATTGTATGGATACACCACGTTTTGTGTACCTATTCACCAGTTGATGGACATTTGTATTGTCTCCATTTTTTGGCTATTCTGTCAATCCATCTGTCTTAGGCTGGGTTCTCTAGAGAAGCAAAACCAGTAAAGCGTATAAATATATGTATATAGAGAGATTTGTATCAAGGAAACAGCTCACACGATTGTAGAGGCTAGAATGCCCCAAGTCCGTGAATCAGGTTAGAAGCCTCTCCCAATTCATGCAGCTGCAGAAGTTGGCAAACCCAAGGTCAGCAGGTCGGAGAGCAGGGCTCCTGCTCATAGGCCTTGAAGGTAGACGAATTCCAAGATCAGCAGACAAGACCGCAAAGTTTCTCCTGATTCATCTAGCTGCAGGGGCTGGTGAACCTAAGATCATCAGGTTGGGGAACAGGACTCTTGCTCGCAGGCTGTAAAGATTGACGAATCCCAAGGTTGACAGGTAAGCTGCCAGCTCAAGTCCCAAGAACCGGAGGTGAGACAACCAGAGGTAGCTGCTGGGTCCGGAACAAGCCAAAAACCACCCTTGGCAAGGTGAGCAGGAAGGAAGTAGCCGTTGGAGGACAGAGAGATGAAGGTGAGGGGGCGGTGAGCCGCCACAGGCCCCACCCCCACCGGTACCACTCAGCAGATTCCATCATGGGGGTAATCACATATCAGATTTCAACTGGGAAGTGATCACAACGTTTTACAACTGACACAACACTGAGAATCGTGGCCTAGCCAAGTTGACATACAATCTTAACCATCACACCATCTAATTGAAGGTTTCCTTTGTTTTTGAGGGAATAAGAATGACTGTCATTGATATACTTGCCTAATAATGCCAGGCACTGTGCCCATGTTTATACCTCAAGTGTTTTCATCAGCTGATTTTTTAAGCTACTTTTGTAAACTAACAGCCTGCATATTTTTTTTTATTTGTCCAATAGTACAAAATAATTTTTTAAAGTATAGTTTTTAATTTTTTATTATAAGTTTGACAGACTAGTATTAATGAACCTCAGTGAAGCCAAAAATCCAGTCCCCAAAGTCACCAGTTCTGCCACGTGGGAAAAACAATTGAGTCAACATTTTATAATCAGGATTTCATTGAGAATCTGGGTTTCTGATGAACTAGGCCAGACCCCCTAGTATGGGTTCAAAGACTGCCAAGAAAGATGTCAGCTTCAGGTTGCTCTCTTCGATTTACTACCAAACCAGCAAACAAACATGGCAAAGAGTCTGCACAGAATCAAGGATACACCTGCCACCCCAGTGATGACTGCAGGTGGAAGGGTCCAATATTTGGGGCTTGATGCCCTGTGTAACTGGAAAGGGGGGAACTGGCTGTGTTTTCTCAAAGGTGTTCACCCACAATCACATGAGGCACCTACATGCTGTGCCAGGTACGTAGTCTCGTGTCCTAGTTCTTGCTGCATCATTGGGCTGACAGCAGGCCTCACTTTGAACTTTCAAACCCAGATTGTCTTGAAAATTATGAAGCTGAGGCAATACTAATGTTACATCCCCTCATGGTAGCTGAGTCATGGCTGCCCCCATTGGAGAGAGAGAGTAGTAATACTTAAAGTTTAGAGAGAGTGCCTGCAAAGCTCCTACCAGTGAGGCTGGTGAAGTACTTACTCAATGTATGGAAGTTGTTCTTTTTAATGGTATCACTGGCAGATAATGATAAAATTTTTGGCAGTCATTTGGTAGACTTGAAAGGGCTGAGAAAGGCTTCATGGCCATGAAGAATCCCACAAGGTTTTGTTGCTGTAAGGTGGCAGCTGAGCTGGGTATTAAGCCAAGTATTGCAAATGTAAGTTATGTGGGCAACCATGCCCTCATAGTCTATTCCCATGTCAGACATTGCTAATTGATTAGAGCACTCTTGTTAATCCTAGGATCCCTTTTGTAATTGTTCAAGGCAGGGACTTTTTAAAAATATATTTTCTTTGTGGTTGTTATTGAAAATACATATAGCAGAACATACACCAGTTCAGCAATTTCTACATGTACAGTTCAACAATGTTGATTACGTTCTTCAAGTTGTGCAACCATTCTCACCCTCCTTTTTTGAATTGTTCTCAATGTAGGAACTGCTAATCAATGGGAGTTACCACAGGAACCTCGTTGCCGTATTTCCTTTAAGCCTAAATATACAGACTGGCTATCCAAGCCATTCCTTCGATAACCCATCCAAACATGTCTTTGTTTCCTTTCAGTCTCTTCTTCGCCTCATGACAAATAGGTTTTGGAAAGAGTTGCGCCTTTATGAAACTCATCAGGAAGAGGTGTCCAAACCTATTGGCCGTTACCCCATTCCCTACAAGAAAGACCTACCTTTTGACATTGTAGAGCTTATGGAGGAGATGGAAAAGAAGGTGAGACACTCACCTGGCGCAGGGTCATAGCCAGTGCAGACCTTTGTCAGCCTGAGTGGAATTCCTGGAGCTGGTTGCCCCAGCCTGTCCAAGTTCCCCACTGTGGATGAAACCTTCCTTTGGGGTCTAATTGTATCTCAATCAGAAGGACATAATTTTTTCCTCATCTTAGGCACAGCCCCTTGAGTTCTGGAACATTTTTTTGTGAGTTTGTCCTTGGCCCTGTGTGCTCTGTAGTTCTGTTGGGTACAAAAATATGGTGTGGAGATACAGCCATTGGGAATACGTGCCAGCTGCTTAAACAGCTCTTTCCTGTAGGAAAACGAATTGTTTTTGGAAATTATATGTTTAAAAATTAGAAATATTAGAAAAATTAAGTAAGCGGAAAATTTCAAAATAATTGGTGATTCTACCATTCAAAGTCAACCACTATTAGCATTTCATGTGTTTTCTTCTTCTCTATTTTCCTTGTGTAATTTTGTATACATCTTCAGTATATTTGCCAATAGGATGCTGTGGCAGACAGCTGTTGGCTGCTACCCAACAGCCATTTCTTCCCTCCTTCCTTGACAACAGAACCTGGATGTTGTTCAGATACATGTTGCCATGGGTTTTAGGGAAGTTTGAGTCCCTTTCCTTCACTGTCAGTTAACAAAAGAAATGAGATCATGTTATCATGAACATTTTTCTAGGTCAAAACATTATTATTTTTAGTGACTGCATGATATAGCATTGTATTTTAGAGATACTGTAATTTCAGCAATCCCCAAATCTTGGACATTTAGGACTTGCAGTAGATGTTTGTACATATATCTTTCTGTACATCCTGAATTATTTCCTGAGGATAATTTTTTTTTTTAAAACAGAAATTTATTGTCTCAAATAAAGATCTGGAGGCTAGAAGTTCGAAATCAGGGTGTTGGCTGCGTTGATTCTTTCTGATGGCTCTGAGAGAGAATCTGTTCCATGCCTCTTTCCCAACTTCTGGTGATGGTTGGTGGTCTTCGATGTTCCTTGGTTTGTAGATTCATCACACATGGCTATCTTTGTGTCTCTGCCTCCATGTCTCTTCTCTTTTATAAGGACATCACTCATATTGGACTAGGACTCACCCGACTCTAGTATGACCTCATGTTAATTTAACTGATATCATCATCAAAGACCCTATTTCCAAACAAGGTCACACCCTCACGGGTACAGGGGGTTAAAACTTCATCATATGTTCTTAGGGGACACAGTTCAATCCATAACAGATGCCATGAAAACAGTGCGATAGGAAATGAAATGCAAGTGTGGGAATCAAGGGGCAGGAGCTGGAGGGGACTAGAGAGAGGGATATAGCTGGTGGGCGTGGAGGCATCTGTCTCCATACGGTGGTTATTTATTCTGGGTACTCCACAGTAGAGCCTTATAAATAGTATTTATTTCACTCCTTTCCAACCATCTGCCCAAGTCCAAAGCATGATAAGCATCTGAAAAAAGTATAATTAGTTTGAGTGGCATTTTGAAAACTTATGAATTAAAAAGATCAGCTTAGTTTTTGTTTTGCCTTTAGATTTATGATACGTAATTACCAAAAGAAATGGGAACTGATGGTGCCCTGAAGAATGCTGAGAAAGAAAATGATTGAAGTAAATATTTTGTGCCTTTTATTATTAGAGCCAAGAAGAAATGGGAGAAAGTGAACATGGAGGTTGAGAGAAGAGAAAAATGAGAAAAAGAGAAAAGTGCCAGACATGATCTGATTTACAATCAAAAATGAAAATTCAAAGAATGAGATATTCAAGTACTTCATACTATATACTGGATAGCCAAAGATGATAAAATGCAAATTCTGAAAATAAGATGCAGGAAGTACATTGTGCTCTTTCAAAACTGATAAAAATGCAAATTACAAACAGCATAGGCCTGAAATTCATTTGATGCATTGCCACAAATGTTTAATAAAATTTAAAAGTTTGACAGTTAAAGTCATTCTTAATTGTAAACCAAGTTAGATTCCACAGATTGAGGAGTAAAATTGTGCCGTTGATCTCTATTATGGAATATTCTTTTTGGAAGAAACCTCACTTTTTCTTTTTTGTTTATCTAGATTTTAAGTTGAACCCTCGGTGGTGATAACAGATACAGTGTAAACAAATTCAGTAAAGCTTCAGGGTTACAGTTTGGTGATGAGTATGTCACAAGAATTCCAATAGAAAACATATACTTTGATGTACTCTGGGAAGAGACAAAGGTTTATTATGCAGGGCGGTTGTGAACAATGTCTTTTATTTATTTATTTTTATTGTTGTAATCAAATGAAGTTTACATTTCATGTTAGTCTCCCATACAGAATTTTTTTTTTTTTAACATACATTGTTATGAGACCCCAACGACACACCCCATTCTGTGACAGCACACTCCTCCCCTCTGCCCCTGATTCCCCATGAACATTCAACCAGCTCCTAACACTCTCTGCCTTCCCATCTCACCTCTGGACAGAAGACGCCCCTTTGGTCTCTTGTATCTACTTATCTGAGAGGCACATTCTTCACAAGTATCACTTTATGTCCCACAGTCCAGTCCAATCCCTGTCTAAAGAGTTGGCCTCGGATATTGTTTTAGTTCTGGGGTGATGGAGAGAGCAGGGCCCATGCTTTCTGGGGCACCTCCAGTCTTAGTCAAACCATTAAATCTGGTCTTCTTACTAGAATTTGAGTTCTGCATCCCATCATTCTACTGCTCCATCAGGGACCCTCTGTTGTGTTCCCTGTCATGACATTCATTGGTAGTAGCCAGGCACCGTCTAGATCTTCTGGTCTCAGGCTGATGAAGTCTCTGGTTTATGTGGCCCATTCTGTCTCTTGGGCCAATAATTTCCTTGTGTCTTTGGTGTTTTTCGTTCTCCTTTACTCCAAGTGGTTGGGACCAATTGATGGATCTTAGATGGCCGCTTGCAAGCTTTTAAGACCTCAGATGTCACTCACCAAAGTAGGATGCACAATATTTTCTTAATCAGCTTTGTTATGCCAATTGACCTAGATGTCCCCTGAAAGCATGGTCCTCAGACCCCACATCCGTGCTACTCTGTCTCTCAAAGTATTTGATTGTATTGAGGAAACTTCTTAGCTTTGGTTTAGTCCAGTGGTGCTGGCTTCCCCTGTAGTGTGTGCTGTCCTTCCCTTCACCTAAGATGATTTTTACCTACTGTCTAGTTAGTGAATAACCCTCACCCTCCCTCCCCAGCCCCATAACCATCAAAGAATGTTTTCTTCTTTGTTTAAACCTTTTCTTGAGTTCTTATAATAGTGGTCTTATACAGTATTTGTCCTTCTGTGACTGACTAAATTCACTCAGCATAATGAGTTGTAGCTTCCTCCATGTTATACAATGTTTCACAGCTTCATCATTGTTCTTTATCATTGAGTAATATTCCATTGTGTGGATATACCATAGTTTGTTTATCCGTTCATCCATTGATGGGCACTTAGGTTGCTTCCATCTTTTGGCTATTGTGAACAGTGCTGCAATGAACATGGGTGTGCATATATCTATTCGTGTGACAGCTCTTGTTTCTCTAGGATACGTTCCAGGGAGCAGGATAGCTGGATTGTATGGTACTTCTATTTCTAGCTTTTTAAGGAAGCACCAAATCGATTTCCAAAGTGGTTGTACCATTTTACATTCCCACCAACAGTGTATAAGTGTTCCAGTCTCTCCACAACCTCTCCAGCATTTATTTTCTGTTTTTTGGATTAGTGCTACCCTTGTTGGGATGAGATGATATCTCATTGTAGTTTTGATCTGCATTTCTCTAAGGGCTAATGATCATGAGCATTTTTTCATGTGTCTGTTAGCTGCCTGAATATCTTCTTCGGTGAAGTGCCTGTTCATATCCTTTGCGCATTTTTTAATTGGGTTATTTGTCTTTTTGCTGTTGCGGTTTTACAGCATCTTGTAGATTTTAGAGATTAAACGCTGATTGGATTTGTCGTAGCCAAAAATTTTTTCCCAGTCTGTAGGTTGTCTTTTTACTCTTGGTGAAGTCTTTGGATGAGCATAAGTGTTTGATTTTTAGGAGCTTCCATTTATCTAGTCTCTCTTCTGGTGCTTGTGCATTGTTACCTATAGTTTGTATTGTGTTTATGCCATGTGTTAGGACTCCTAGCGTTGTCCCTATTTTTTCTTCCATGATCTTTATCGTTTTTGATTTTATATTTAAGTGTTTGATCCATTTTGAGGTAGTTTTTATACATGGTGTGAGATATGGGTCTTGTTTCAGTTTTTTGCATATAGATATCCAGTTATTCCAGTACCATCTGTTAAAGAGACTGTCTTTTCCCCAATTAATGGACTTTGGGCCTTTGTCAAATATTAGCTGCTCATAGTTGGATGAGTTTGTGTCTGGATTCTCAACTCTGTTCCATTGGTCTATGTATCTGTTG